ACTGAGCATGACGTGAAATGGAGCAAAGTCTCTCTTCTGACATTCCTAAAACTTTGTGGGCAGTGACTTTGCATCTCATCTGAAAGGGGCTGGACAGTGAGAGTGGGTTGTGGGGAGAATACGGGATCCAGATTCCTTTGGAAATTGGACTCTAGGAGGCACCTAGGGGAGTAGCAGGGCAGCTTCTGGAACCCAGGGCTCCCTTTGACTACATGGACCCTGGAGTCTGGGTCACCTCAGCACCTGCACTCACCCTGCGGCCGTGCTGCACGCTGGAAGGTGTATGGGGCCACTGTGCCTCCTCCACGGGCATGGAGGTGAGGTCTCCATCTGTCAGCTCCTCTCCGTTCTCCTCTTCGGAGCTCAGGACTGGAAATGGGAACTGGAAAGACAGTGCCCAGTCACCAGGAGAAAAGCCTCTGAGCCCTGTTTTGCTGGTTCTGTGACCCATGTGACCCTCATTTCCAGACACACACACCGTGATGCACTGAGACCTCCACTGTGGAGGAAAAGGTGTGACGGCCTGAGGGCTAGGAATCCCATTGGCACCAATAAGGGACCCCTCTGGAAGCCCATCTCCACATGCCTGCCCTGTCTTAGTGGGTAATCACAGCAGGACCTCTAGGTGATCCACTGCCCCCGAAAGCTGTTCCTGCCCCAGGGTTCTCCCTTCAGGTCCCTCTTCCCCAACACATGAAGGGGAGGGGATGTGGGCTGCGCAGGGATGGCACACAAAGGTGGCCTGGCCTGAATGGGTCTGACCCCGGCCACCTTGTGTTACCTGAGACCAAAAGCTAGGAAGTGGATAGATACGTCGGGAATGACGGTTGAGCAAACGTCGAAGCCGTCTGAAAAAGCTCTCACTGCGGGGACTCCGGAAGCAAGAGCACCAATCACCGGGAACACAGCAAGAGAACATGTTGCACTGGCAAATGCCTCCTGGCAAGCGAGCTGCCTGTTGGGCTACATGTGGGTGCCTGGTTACGGGGTTTCAAGTTATATTGGATAGTGACCTCATACCTGGTATTGTCTTCCCTGAGTCCCTTCATCTCATGACAGCTATGCAAGTAGTCCTGTGGGCTGCTGTCTGCGGACACCTCTTCTGCATGAAACACCTTATCTGTACACAGTGGCACCAGCACACCCCTCTGCCCAGCCCCCTAGAAGCTCTGGGTGCAGCCAGGGTCCCAGACTTGAGGAAACCTACCTGGGTGCAGACTCAATCCCTCATTTTTACCTTTTCTTGATCCTGGATAAGTCATTGTGCCTGTCAGGGCCCGTCTCTGTCCTGCCTGCACAATGGGTTATGGAGCAAGTGCTTCTTATGGCTGTTCAGGCTACTGTGGGGGAGGAGCTACAAAGTAGGAGGAGGACTGTCACATGTAGGTAGTGCCTCCAACCTCTTTTTCCTTCCTGTTGTCACCTCCTCTGTGTCTGCTTTTTTTCTAATCCCCCCCAAAGTCATCACACCTAGAGTGAATGTGTGTGTGTGTGAGTGTGTGTGTGTGCACATGACAGTGCTCCCTTTCTGGACCCCAGAACAAATCAGCCACCACAAAGGGAGGAACAGGCAGAAGCTGCCCAGTATGTCAGGATTTCTAATGTCCAGACCAACTCTGTGGGGAGGTGGGAGCCTTGGCCTGGAAGGTGTGAACATTCCTGAAGTTTGCACTCTGAATGTCATGTGCCCTGGCCAATCCCTGCCTGACCAAGGACTTCAGTTTCCCAATTATCCAATGAGGGTGTCATCCACAACTACGTAAGCATGAGCTGAGCATAAGGGGGCCCGGCTTTCTCCACTGCTGGTGGGTTGTGGACAGAGGTGCACCTTTGTGATTCCAGATCTGGGCGCCTTTTCAGAAAAATACTGTCTAGGCTGCCAAGTGCTCACTGTCTCCCCTGTGCCATCTCCATGTCAGCACACGATTCCAGCGGCACAGCCTTTTCCAGAGCCCCTGAGCCAACCTGGGGGCACCTAGGACCCCCTCTTGGAGGACACAACTGGGTTTATCTCAGTCTCTGCATTCTGACCGTCTGTGATCCGGGGCAAGGCATGGACCTCTCGGGTCACTGGCTCCCTCCTCAGTGACTCCCCATGGTCTGCACCTTCCTCGTGGGGTGTGAATGTGTGCCCTCCCTTTCAATGTGGGTGTCAGTAGTGACTCCATAGAAGACGGCAAAGGGATCCAACATGACCTCCATGATTTGGTTCTAAAAGTCAGTGCCTGGCCCGGCCAGAGTGGTTGAGCATCATCCTGTGCACTGAAGGATTGCTGTTCGGTTCCTATCAGGGCACATACCAAGGTTGTATGTTTGATCCCTATCGGGGTGCATACAGGAGGCAACCAATTAATGATTCTCTCTCACAATGATGTTTCTCTCTCTCTCTCACTTTCAATTTTTTGAAAAAAATTAATTTAATAATTTTAAAGCAATCCATTTATTTTTAAACCTTTATTGTTGAAAGTGTTACATATGTCCCCCTTTTTCCCCATTGACCACTTCTAGTCGATCCCTATCCCCCACCCCAGGCCTTCACCACCCTATTGTCTATGTCCCTGGGTTATGTATATATGCATACAAGTTCTTTTCTTGGTCTCTTCCCACCCTGAAAAGTTTTTAAAAAGTTGCTGCTGGCCAACTTACTCACTCTGATCTGATCTCTCTCTCCCTCTCTCTCGCTCTCTCTTTCTCTCTCTCTCTCTCTCCACACTGAGGAATAAGCCTCTGTGCTGTGAGTTGCTATCTGGAGAGACCCACATGGCCTGGCACTGAATGAGACCAACAGACAGAGAGGAAGTCAAGCCTTCCATCCACACTGAATCCCAAAGGCCCCCCCGAGTGAGCTCAGACCCTCAGTGACACAGATCCTGCCTCAGGTGAGACCACAGAAGTCCCAGCAGAGCCCTGCGGGATTCCTCGTCACAGACGTGTGAGCTAATAAGTGTGTGTTGGTTAAGTCTCTAGTGTGGAGTAACTCTCAGCAATAGGTCACTAGCACAGTCATCCCACACCAGGCCCTGGGCCTGCCCTCCTATCTCCCCCGTTTTTCTCCTCCCAGTTCCCTCCAGCCCACACCCCTCATTTCTAACACCCTCTGCCTCCAGTTTGGAGGATGGCTGTGAAACTTGGGAAAGGACCCTGGAAAGTAGAGCCAAACTGAAAAGTATAATTTGAAATAGGAAACAGCTTCTGTTGAGACCACAGTTCTGAGCTTCCAAGGTAAGGAGACGCTCCACGGAAGGCAGGCAGCTGCCCCTCCAGGCCCATTGCTAGTGCGCGCAAGTGCACTGCCGTCGCCATGGGCCTCTAAGGTAGACCTGCCCCCCTGATTTCCAGACCTCATTTAATTTCACAAGCCTTTATCAGCTGCCATTGTGAAATCAGGATGAAGAGGGTAGACAAGTACTTACTCATCTTTCTGGTTTAGAAATCTCATCCTAAAGAAAGCCAGTGCAATGCCCATGATGGGCTCACGTTCTCAGGGCTTATGGCCCTTAGGGTAAGTGGTAGGTCTCATCAGACTCCATTCAAATTTCCTTTCTCACCGTGTCAACCTACAGGGCTGATCTCCTTGAGAGCAGGGACCCTGGGTGTGATCCACAGTGAATACCCATTTGTCCTGAGACAGTGTAGCTTGTGCCATGGCGGGTGCCGTACAAGGCTGTAGTCCATCCTCACCAGAGGGTATTCAGAGCACCCAAGAGGATTGATGTAAAAGGAGAAGCCAGGCCATCTCCACAACCTTGTTCAGCCTTTGTGCTTCAGAAAGAATGGCTGATGGGCTCTGGTGAGACAGAAGAGCCTCAGGAAAAACCCCAGCTGAACCAGAGCCTAGGGTCTGAGGGCAGAGAGAGGCTCTGACCCCAGACATTTGGAAGTGGTGCCTGTGGAGGAGATGAGTTTGGACCCCGGGCACTGGGACATTCCCTGTCCCCTCTTCAGTGCTGTGGGCCAACAGAGGAGATGCTCAGAATGCTGCTCGGTGCGCGTGGAGCAGGTGGAGTTTCTGTCCAGGTGCAGGTCGCAGTCAGGGTTCAGGAACTGCCTGCTGCTGGTTAAACCCTGCAGCATTCTGCAACGTGGGCGCCAGGGGCGCCTAAGGCCATGCTTTGTCCATGTGCTGGTGGGAGATGAAGTTAAATGAAATGTGGATTCCCAGGGGCAGCCCTGACATAAAGGGTCCCTGCCCCAATGCTCATCAGTCAATTTCCCCCAAAGTTCCATTGTCCTGGGCCTCAAAAAGGTCACGTCACATTCGTGGAGCAGATGGCTCCTGAGAGACTAATTCTTCCCAACCTATGACTCATAGTAACACGACACAGGCGTAAAAGACACAGACTTGCTCAAGGCTCTGAAGGATTGTAGAGTTAAATTTTATAGAATTTAAATTAAGTTTGTATTTTAAGAGTATTTCATTATATTTTTTTTAAATAGACTCTAGGTTACTGAATAGTATGAGAAAAATACAGTAAAGTTATAAACGTATATGATAAACACAAATATTTTAAAACTTCATATAAAGGAGGGGAGGGAGCCCTCTCTGTCATGGCATCGGACACACGCTGTGGCCCAGGATCTAGGACCACAGGTTCCGAAGGAGCTGAGGTGAGTTGTTCACAAGCTGAAGGTGGGTCCACATCTGGGAGCTCAGTGACAGCTGTGCCTGGAGCCTGCTCTGGCTTAAGAGAGGGCACCAGAGTTGGCGTTTCCTCTTCAAGTGTTTCTGGATCTTGCTCTGGAGCTGCTTCTGTAGATCCAAGAAGAGACCATGTTACCACCATGACTGCCTTTGTGTGCCTTCCAAGGAAGGGAAATCCCATCTCCATCACTGAAGTCCCAGTTCAAGCCCCCACCCCAGGAAGTCCTCCAGACTGCAGGCCCTGGGCACTGACCTGAGCGGCTCTGTGCTCCTGCCTAGGCCCAGCCTCTGGGAGGTCTTCTCTGTGTGGTCCAGCCACATCCCCTCCCCCTCACCCACACTACCCACTCCACATGCACAGCTCTCTGACTCCTGCCCTTTTTTCTAGCAGAAGCCCTCAGACCACTGCCCTCTTGCAGAAATCCCACCATATGTGGGATCCTGAGTGTGGCCACCTTCTCCAAGTCACAGTCCCCATACTCCCCTTAAGGCTCTGATCCAAAGCCCATTCACTTTTTCTGCTGGTCCAGAGATCCACTTTCTGCTTCACAATACGAGTAGATCAGCGATACGTTGAGGAAGAAGTCACATCGACTGTCCTGTGGACTCTACCTGCCTGTGCAGCCCAGTGTGACTGAATCCCTCCTGACTAGAAGGAAGCGCTGGAGTGCAGTCCTGGGGGCAGCGCATTTGCTGAATGAATGATCCCAAACAACCCCCATCTCAGATAGCTGGGTGAGCCTAGGGTCCCCCTGCTCACCCCTGGGATTTCTAATCTGGCTGCGCCCAGGACAGGGACCCCTAATGGAATCTCCAACATCTTTATCAAACGAGAAAACAGCTTAGCCTAAGGCCTGAGAACCACAATTAAGGCAGAAGCTTCGTTAAGAAGAGAAAATGGCCAATAGGAACAACCACAGCCCCTCCAGCACACCTCTGCAGTGTCCAGGCACCAGCGGGCCTTTTCCCAGGGGGACCTCCCCCCCAATAACCCTATGAGGCTGGGCCTAGGCTCTCCCCATGTTCAGAGAAGCAAATACTCAGAGAGGTGCAGTGACCTGAAGACTCACAGCAGCAGGTGGCTGAGTGACCACGGTGCTGTGGAGGGGCAGGGCTCACCTGGTACATGGTTGGTCCCACACACGTTGGTTAGTAGCACATGTTCTGTATTCACACAGAAGGGTGGGTGGGACCAAGGTGGGGACGCTGCCCAGGAAGCTAGTCACCAAGGATTTGACCAGTTTATCTAATCCGTGTTCCTGGGTGTTTGTATAGTACAGGTATATGGATACATATTTGCCTTCTGAGGGTCAAGTTTACTTGGAATCCAGAGTGAGTGGTGCTGGGGCCACTTGGCTGCCTGACAGCTGAGGCTCAGGGCTGGGCTGACAGGCCTCCATCATGGGCATAGGATGCCCCCAATGGGAGGCCAGCCCTTGGCCTCTGGCCACCCAGCTCTGAGTCTGGGCACAGGGTGAAGCCAGCTCCCTGGGAAGCAGAGTCTTGGCTCCAGGAAGGGCAGGTGGAGAAGGTGAGGACAGTTCTCCCTGGATGGGTCAGGATCCAGAAAAACAGACTTGCTCAAAGCTCTGAGGGTTTATAGGGTTAAATTTTATAGAATCTAAATTAAGGTAATATTTGGGAGTATTTCAGTAAATGTTCTCTACAGTACACTGTATGTTATTAAATATCATAAAAATATACTAAAATTATAAGCCTATGTAACATGAACAGAAAACTTCTAACACTGCATCTAAATAGGGTTGGGGTAGGGGGGCGCCCTCTCTGCCGTGGCCGCTGACACGCGCTGTGGCCTGGGATCTGGCACCACAGGCCGCGCAGGAACTGGGGTGAGTTGCTCCAATGCTGCAGGTGGTTCTTCTGCCTCTTGAAGTTCAGTGAAAGCTGGGCCTGGATCCGGGACTGGCTCTGTAGAGGCCACACGGATGGCGTTGCCTCTTGAAGGTTTTCCTCATGTTGCTCTGGAGCTGGTTCTGTAGATCCAAGAAGAGGACATGTTACCACCCTCACTGCCTGTTGTGTGCCTTCCAAAGGCACACTCACCCACACCACCCCCCGGAGGCCTCCTCCTCCTCCTGTCTCGGCCTCAGTGGGCTCAGGTGCTCCCGCTGTGAATGGAGGCACTGAGCCTGCATTGGCAGGTGGGAGACTGGAAAGTTGAGCTCTATGGAAGCCAACAGCATCATCAGGCTGGGAAATTCTGGCGGTGCTAGTCCAGCCCAATGCTCAGGATGCAGGAGATGGCCCTGGGGAGAGAGATAAGTTGGAAGCAGAGTCTGAGGCCTGGCCTTTCCTTCCATACAGCCATCCCAGAGCACCACTCAGAGAGCCTGGGGTCCTGTGCCTGCTGCTCCTGCTCATCCAGAAGCCAGACCTACTCCTTGTCCACCTTCAGTCTGGCAGTCCTGGCAGAGACGTGCCTGGTCACCCAAGAGGGGCTGGCAGAAAGCCCTCCTAACTGACAGCTCTGGATCAATGAGGGAACCACCTGTCCCCTTCTTTAGGGGAACCTGACATGCTCTCTCAGTGTTCCTGTCCCCTCTGATATCTTCCCACGGAAATGTCAACTCCATCAGGACAGGGAGGGCTGGTGTCCACTCTGATCATGTCACTCATTAGCACACAGTAGGTGCTCCAGAAATAGCTGAGCAATGAGCGAACAAATGAATTCTGTCTCCATCCTTCACTTCCCAGGGCCTTCCTATCACCTCAAACTTTGGCTCCTGCACCTACATGCTGCCTAATTCACTAGCCTCCCTGTGGGGTTCTTCGCCTCCCACTGAAACTCAACTCCCTCAGGGCTGGGTACACTTGCCAAGGTGGCCCTGAGGAGGTTCTACCAAATTAGTGAGCATGATCCCTGATAGGGGTGCAGGCACACTTGGATTAGGACTGGACGACCATGAATTTTCTGAGAGGCTGACTGACCACTGAGCTCCCCCTGCTCTCCCACTCCACCCAAATCCACATGCACAGCTCTCTGACTCTTGTCCTTTTTCTAGGAGGAGCCCTCAGACCTCTGCCCTCTTGCAGAAATCCCACCATGTGCGGGATACAGGGTTCTGCCAGAACCTTGAATTCACAGTCCGCATACTTCCCTCATTGCTCTGATCCAAAACCGACTCACGTTTTCTGCTGGAACAGAGGTTCACCTTCCTCTTCACAATACGCGAAGATGCAGCCATAGGGAGAGGAGGCCGGAGGATGTCACATCGGCTGTCTTGTGGACACTCCGAGCCTGTGCAGCCTAGTGTGACTGAATCGCTCCCGACTAGAGGGAAGCTCTGCAGTACAGGCTTGGGGTCTGCTCTGTGCACTGGATTATGGTCAGTGCCTAGAGACGTGTCTGTACCTGGAAGATTCTGATATATTTGCTGAATGAATGAGCCCAAACCAGCCCCATCACAGATATTTGGGTGATCCTGGGCCCCACTGCTCAGCCCTGGGGTTTCTGCTCTGGCTTCAGCCAGGACAGGGACCCATAACAGAATCTCCAGTCTCTTTATGACATGAGAAAAGAGCTTAGCCCTGGGCCCCGAAAGCATCACATATGAGGAAGAAAAAGGACCAATTAGCACAACCACACCCCTGCTGCAAACCTATCCCCTGTCCGGGCACCCAGAGAAAGCTTTAGGGGAGCACCCTACAGGGCCCCTACAAAAACCCTATGAGGTTGCTCCTTGATTCTCCTCATGTTCTTAGAAACAAACACTCAGAGGGATGCAGTGATCTGAGAGTTCACAGCCAGCAAGGGGCCACATGACCACTGTGCTGTGGAGGGGCAGGCTGCTCACCTTGTAAATAGTTGGTACAGCTGTTGGGTGGCAGCAAATGTTCTGTGATAACCTGAAGAGGTAGGGACGAAGGTGGGTCGCTGCTCAGCAAGGAGGGCACCGGTGATTCCACCCCGTGTGCCTGTGTGATCTGCATCGTACAGCTCTTTTTTGTTATGACACCCTGTGAGACCGGAGTTCATTGGGAACCATAAGTGGATGGTGCTGGGGCCACTTGGTTGGTTGGCAGCTGGGGTCTAAGGCTGGGCTGGCTGGCCCCCGTGTTGTGCTCCGGATGCCCCAATGGGAGGCCAGCTCTTTGCCTCTGGCCGCCCAGCTCTGTGTCTGGGCACAGGCTGGTGCCGGCTCCCAGGGTTAAGCTGAGCCCTGGTTTCCAGGAAGGGCAGGTCTCCAAGGCCAGAAGCCTTCTCACTGACAGTGCTGGGGGTCCTGAGGTCAAAACACACCTTCCATGATGCTCCAGCTCAACTATGATCTCCTGACCTCCCACCTGCCGGACCTTTCTGGTTATTGAACAGAGCATATGGGGGTCTCAGTGAGGGCAACCCCCTTAGGTTCCAGGCTGTGAGCGCATTCAAATTCAAAACAGTTTCTCTGTGTTTCCAGGGTCTGTGTCTATAGTAAACTGAACTGTTGGCAGAAAAGCAGCTGGGTCCTCCTGGGCTTGGCCCAGGCAGAGTGAAGGGCAGGGGGAGGGACAGGGCTAGAAGGTGGAATTGTTGTGTTCGAAGATGCAGACAGGGAAGTGCTTGACGTGGGAGGACCACTGGGCTGCCAGCTGGAAGAACGTCACGTCGTTCCACTCCACGCCGTCAATGAGGACCCGCTGCCTGTGCTCCTGGTTCTGGGCTGAGCAGACCAAGCGGCCGATGCCCTGGATGCACTGGCTGTTGGACTCCAAGTTCGTGCCCTTGTCTTTCTTGGACAAAAACATCTCCTTCTTTTTCTCCTCCTTGGTGATCACAGTCATGGCCATTGTGGGCGTGGCTGCAGCCTCGCCGCTGCTGGGCAGCCTGCTGACCTGGAGAGACCTGAAGGTGCACCGGAGTGTGTTTTTGGTGGCGGGCAGGTCTTCCTTCTCCGCGCTCCTCTTCCTGTTTGTGGGCTGGGCTGCCGTCCAGTAATCCACCTGCAGCTCCATCAGCTCAGCACCCCCACTCTGGCCGGGGGAGGACAGGCCCCCACTCACTGACGACAAGGAAATGAGCTTGTGTGTGGCCTCCCTGGCGGTGGACAGAAGCACATTGGAGCACGAGGGGACGGCTTCAGCTGAGTCTCCTGACGTGGCTGAAATTGGCTCCACTCTTCCAACTTTCACGGCCCCCACAAAGGGAAGGAACTTCTGCGAGGACAGCTCGTCCGGGCTCTTCGGCTTAGAGATGAGCATGGCCTCTGCGATGGGCAGCTGGAGGACACAGTTGGCCCCCGTGAGGTACTCTCTGATTTTCAACACAATGTTCTGCACCGCATCCTGGGCCTCCAGGTGGTAGAACAGTTCCCACCAGGCCAGGTCCCGTAAGAGTTTGTGGTAGCGGCAATCCACGGAGCCCAGGTACCTGGCCAAGGGGTGGGAACCCAGCGGGATGACCAGGAAGCACATGTAGCCCAGCCAGTCCGGGGCCTTGTGGGACAGCTGCTGCACAAAGACCCGCAGCACGGTGCTGAAGTAGTGCTGGTCCCCCGCCACCGCGATCTTCACTGGCATGGTGGCCTCGGTATTGCAGTTGCGGTATCTTTGTATCCAGGAGATGATGGAGCTGAAGGCCTCCTGGACATCCACCATGGAGCCGGTGCACACGACGGGCAGCGCGTGCTGCTGCAGGACGTCGGACAGGGACTGCCCCCGCCTGTCGGAGGTGTTGATGAGGATGATGTTCTTGGGCAGATAGTCGTTGGAGATGAGGCTGTGGTTCAGTTGGTCGAACACAGTCTGACCGGGGACCTGCAGTTGGCTCTGTGGGGCCGGACAGCGCTCCTTGATCAGGCTGTTGGCCGACTCATTCAGGGACCTGCTCCAGCCCCGGCGGGCGGGCTGCTTCCCCTTGGAGCTGGTGGAAGGGATGACCAGAGACTCGGTCTTGGTGGTGCGCCTCGTAGTGAGCATGTCCTGGGCAGAGGTCCCTGCCTCCGGGCTGTCCCCAGGCTGTGCCGGCTGCTCCCCAGGGTGGGGCATGCTGTGGGCCCCCCAGTCGGAGCCACTGTCGCTTGAAAGGCTTTCACAGTATAATCTGGGCCTGTGGGTCCTGAGGACTCTGTCGTCCTCCTCCATATCTGGGCTGGACAGGCTTTCAGAATATGACATGAGCTCAGGCATGGGAGGGGTTGGGAGACGGTCATCCTCCTCCATGTCTGAGCCACTGTCCATGGGGCACACCACGCTCTGAAACAGAAAGGCCAGGTCCTTGTCCACATCGGGGACTTCCTCCTCAGACTCCTGCTCCGAGTCCAGGACCTCCAGCGTCATTTGGTACCTGTGCAGCCACTCTGCGACTCTCTGCTGGTAGTTCTGTTGCTTGATTGTGGACCTGCTCCTTCCTATCGGTTTCTCCAGGTCCAAGTCATCCTCGTCCAGGTCATGCCTGTAGGAGGCATTGTAGCTGACCTCCAGCTCAGAGCAGACGATCTCAGGCTCTCCCTCAGAGAAGTTATGCGTGGCCTCCACCTCGGTGCTGGCCGGCATGGCGTTGTCCAGGTGGTTGACGGTCGGGCTCGATTGGGAGAAGATGCAGCTCTTGACCACCTTGGAGGGTGGGGTGCTGCAGGCCATCGAGTCAGAGGCACTGCCACTGAACAGCTTGCCGCCCGGGCCCTGGGTCTTCCCGGGCATGTCGGCCGGCGGAGGAGGCTCCTTCTGGCTCCGGGCACTGTGTAAGCTCCTCGCCTCCGTCTGCCAGCTGGAGTGTGCCAGGCCATCAGAGTATTGTCTGGCCTTGGGCTTGGTGTTGCTGGGGATGCTGCTATCGTCCTCCATGTCTGGGCCACTGTCGCTGGGATTCTGAAGGGTGTCATAGAGAAGGTCCAGGTCCTCCGCCACCTCAGGGACATGCTCCTTAGGGTCCTGATCCGAGTCCAGGACTTCTTCTGACATGTTGGACCTGGGAAGCGGTGCCATGGCTTTCTGCTTCAAGTTTCGTTGCATGCATCGCTGCTGCTTCTTGGGCTGCCCCAGGTCAAAGTCAGCTTCTTCCAGGTCGTGCCTGTGTGTGAGATTGCAGCTGTCGTCCAGCTCAGTGAAGCTTTCAGATTTCCCCTCCATGAGGCTATCCATGGACTTGGCCTTGGGGCTGGCCTGCATGCTGCCATCCTCGTCGTCGATGGGCTGACTGGATAGGGAGGAGATCCAGATCTCAGCCACCGTGATGGAGGACCCCCGGATCCTGCTGCTGAGGCTCAGCACCTGGCCACCCTCAGGGGGTCGCTGCATCAGCTCCGCCATGTGGACGGCCCCTGTGGCCAGTGTCCTGTAGCCCAGGATGGTCCGGTTGTTACTGCACTTCCTCTGCTGCAGCATGATCTGCAGCTGGTTGCCTTTTCTCTTGAGGAAGTGGGGGTACTCCAGGGAGAAGGTCAGCGCCAGGTCAGTCTCCACTGGCCCGCTGCTGGGCAGCACAATCTCATGGGATCTCAAGATGCCCTTGGAGCCCTGCATCTGCACTGCTATCACCAAGGAGACGAGCTCCTTCTCCAGCTCCTTCAAGACCACCAGCTTCTTTAAAGTGACGCTGCACAATCTGGGCACGCAGCTAGGTCTGGAGCAGTCCACCTCCCAGGTAGAGAAGAAAGTCATGGGCACTGGCGTGTTGAGCACAGTGGGCGAGCGGGCCAGGCCCGCAGGTGGCGAGGAAGCTGCAGCTGCTTCCAGCGTGAAGATACTTGCTGGTTCTTCCCCCTGTGGTGGGACAGAGGAGGGACATGATTGGTGGCAAGAGGTGGGACACGGGTGATCGAAGGAGAGAGTAAATGACAAATAGTCACATGCTCATCTGTGACTCGCACAGGTAAGGCCTGCATGGTGGCCTTTCAAACTCGGAGACCTAAATTAACCACAAAGTTAGCCTGAAATTAAAACTTGTTACTTCAACACAGTTTATGGTGTGTAGTCATATGCTAGGCCAGTGTCTTCCCTGACAAAGGTCAATCTTTACCTTAACGGAGCCTGTCTGTTGCCTTTTGGCATCTGTGATAACATACCTTTGCAATGTTAAAGGAATTTTCCTTTTTCTCGTCACCTAGGAGCACAGGCACTGCTCTGTGCTGGGCAGAGACCACAAAGCTGCTCATTGCTATTGAGTTCATTGCTAACTATCCTGTGTGCACCTGTATGAGAGCGGTATGTGTCTCTCGTTTTACTTTTTATCTAATCCCAGAGATTTCCCTGCTTTGCTTTCTCCTGCCTCCCTAAGCAATGGATTTCATGTGACCCACATACATGTCCACTTTTGATTGTATGTGTAAAAGCAGGTGCAATCCTGCCATTCTTGGAGCACTACCTCAATACAGTGAGATTTTGTTTTCTGGCCACTGTTGACAGGGGCTCCCATAAACTCACAAAAATTCTGCACAGGGTTGAATGCTGCCTACATTGCTATTTACTTGGCTTACTGCGGCAGGATTCCAAAGCTCACACAGGACCGCCCTGCAGACCCAGACCGGTGCTGGGATCCAGCAAAGGGCCTGTTGGGCCACCACTTCCCTGCCTGTCAGGGGCATTTGGCTAAGTTGTCTCTTGAATCCAGAACCTTCCTTTGCTTGTGATAGAGGGTTCGACTTTAGTTAAGCTGTATTTTTAATCCCCAAGGTGGAACTAAGGTTAAGGGCTGACAGAATCAAGGCTAAGGAGAGACCAGAGGAAACATGGGTGGCTGGTTTCTGACTCTGGGTTTTCATTTGGATTTGCTTTCTGAGAGTCTGAGCAAAACACCTTCGCTGTATAACTGAGAGCTGAACTTGCTCAGCTCCGAAGGGACACACCCTCCTTCTGACCTGAATCTTGGCTGTTCTTAAGCAACTAAGAATCTTTGTGGAGGTGTCAGAGGTCATTCCTCACGCCAAGCAGGAGCCCCATAGGGAAATTCCAACTCAACTGTAATTCACCTGACTGGCTCCTCCGGGGGAGAGCCCATAAGGTTAGGTCCACCAGCGTTCCTAGCCCTTCCTGAGGTTTTTATTTTTATTTATTTATTTATCCTCTCTCGAGTATATTTTCCCCATGGGTTTAGAGAGAGAGGAAGGGAGGGGGAGATACAGAGAGAGAGAATGAGAGAGACATAGATTGGTTGCCTCCCCCAGGCGCTCCAGTAAGGGCCAGGGATCAAGCTGCAACCGAGGTGCATGCCCTTCACCTTGAATCAAACCCAGGACCGCTCAGGGCCGGCATTCTACCCATGGAGCCAAACTGGCCAGAGGCCTTCAGTCGCGTAGATAACTGGGAGAGAAGCCGAGGCACATAAGAGGGGTGTGAGCATAATGGAGCTCAGCCCAGAGCCGCTCACTTCCACCCACTCCATAGCATCCCCAGAAAACTCGCTCAGACTCTGCAAATATAAACTAACAACCATAACCATAGAAACAAACACACCTATAATTAACATGGGACGTTGTGCCTCCAGGGCTGGGACCTCCCAGCCCCCAGCCCTCATTCACCCCTGATAGGAAGCCTTTTCTTGCAAGTCAAGAAGCCTTTACAGAAATGGGAAGATTTAACTTGAAAATATCAATTGAAAAATGACCAAGATAAATAAATTTTTTGCAAGAAAAAAAAGAAAACTAGAAATATGCTGGCCCCAAAATGAAAATGACTGAATAGGAAACATATCTTGACTTGGAAATTAGAAGCTTCTAAGGAGAAGCACAGAAAATTCTTTTAAAAAATAAATTAATGAGACATTTTAGAGACTATCTCTGACCTCTCCTGAAGCGAATAAATGCTAACACCCCATTCTCCCCCTTCTGTAGCACGTCCACTACATCTTTTGCTCTCTGAGCTTCCTTGTCCGGACGTGTTCTTTCCCTTCCCTTCCTCCTGCCCCTCTATCTCCTCCACTACCCCTCCCTACTGACTTAAGGGAAATGAGAATAGGAATTCTACCAGCTCCCTTTGGAGAAAAGCTGCTCTCAGCCAGAAAGGAACCAGCAATTGTTCTCCATTTTCTCTATGGCCCTGATTGGCTCACAGAGAAATTTAACCCATAGAACATGTAATCCTGGCTATTCTAACCTATTGCAATTAATATACTCCTGGTTTCTGGGAGCAAAAGCAAGAGAATTACTAAATAAGGTTGTAAGAAAACTCCTATAGAGAAGTCTGCCCACTTTAGGGATTTTAGGAAACTGAAATAGGATTTAGAAAAAGTAAACAAACAAAAGAAGCATAGGGTTGCTCCAAGGGTGTTTCCCCTTCTCACTGTTAGTTTGGGAGAACTTGAAATTATCATAAAAAGGGAAGCTACTAAGGACCCTGTAGATACTGGTGCTATCTTATTGTTCTTAACCGCACCCACTAATTGCTTTCTCCATGGGACTAAACCTTCTGTACAAAAATGTCTGCTTTTTAATCAAAACCTGTTTCCTTTCAACTAGGGGTTGTTATGGAACCATATATATATTGTTTGCTAATCAAATCTTTCCCAATTCACCTGATAGGTGAGCGGTGTTTTTTTTTTTCTTTTATATGAAATCAGTGATGCCTACATATCTTTTCCCAGAATAGTTATATATTTAGAATAAATGAACCAGATGCTGAACCAAAATGAAAGTAATGATTTTAAAGGAACCTTCCAGGAGGAAACTAACCTTGAGACTGACCAGAAGTTTGGTAATCATCTTTTCTTTATTAGTATCTTCCACGAGAGCCTGAGAGATGGCTTAACAGGGTACCCACCCTACTCAGAATGTCTCCAGACAGCTCAGAGACATGTCTCTAACACTGGGCTTGCTCATAGGTCTCTCTATAGATGCGGAACCAGCCCACAGTGACTTGAGAGTCCTCTTATGGAGTACATATTCACCAAGTGGGAGAAACTTGACCCTGAGAAACTCAAGAAAGAAGCCAATCTTCTTTTGTTACACCACCTACCTGGTCCCAATATAAAGTGGGTAATAGAGAGGTTTGGCACCATTAATTTTAAGACTATCATGCAGCTAGAACCTGCTTTTCATTCCCAAGGGAGATGGACAGAGGTTTCATATACCTGAAAGCCTTTACACCTCTCAGAGTTGTGTGCTTTCTGGAAGCTAGAAAAATGTTCCCAAATAGAAAGAAACATTCCAAAAATGGGCAAATGAATTTGTCAGTCCCTTGCCAGTCCCTTGGGTGGCAACCCAGTCCCTGGGGTATTAAAAATGACTATCCTTGTTTTACGAATGAAGTTTTCAAGGGGGCAGATGTTTGCCTGCAGAAGCAATTCAAAGCCCACCAAATCCTTTTACCTTCCCCAAACCACCCCCCTAATTCATTTCAGAGACTTATAGACAACTAGAGGCCCAGTGCACAACATTCATGCACTTTTGGGGTCCCGTTAGCCAGGCCTGCACCCTTTAGCAGTCCGGGAGTCCTTGGGGCTGTCCAACTCCCGGCTTAGGCCCTCTCCTCGCCTCTCCCCCCCACCCCCCCTCCCCAGTGCACTGACCACCAGGGGGCAGCTCCTGGGTTGAGTGTCTGCCCCTTCGTGGTCAGTGTGCATCATAGTGACTGTTCTGGCGTTAGGTTGATTTGCATATTACCTTTTTATTATATAGGATTGGCTTCATGCAACAAAAGTCCCAGAACCTTTGAAGTGAGAATACCTGAGTTCATTTTTTATTTTTTTATTTATTTATTTTTTAAATATATTTTATTGATTTTTTACAGAGAGGAAGGGAGAGGGATAGAGAGTTAGAAACATCGATGAGAGAGAAACATCGATCAGCTGCCTCCTGCACATCTCCTTCTGGGGATGAGCCCGCAACCCAGGTACATGCCCCTGAATGGAATCGAACCCGGGACCTTTCAGTCCGCAGACCGACGCTCTATCCACTGAGCCAAACCGGTTTTGGCCTGAGTTCATTTTTTAAAATAAAACTACAAATCTCTGGAAGGTATGTCTTATCCCAATAGAAAAAACATACCTCATTCATCTACACAAATCACTTTATTTCCACTATTTCTTTCTAACTTAGTAAGTTTTAATGAAAGTTATTAAATATCTAGATATTTTGAAATAACATGAAATACTGAAACATTGATTGCTAGACAAGTTCACCTGCTTTTGGGTTTTTTTAATATGGAAGGTTTATAAAATGCGTTTGGAACTGTTGATATAATGACTTGTGTTTTGTTGAAGGTGTGTTTCTTGGAAGTGAGAGTGTGATTAAAATATGTTCATCAACGTCAATCTAAGGGATGCTGGTTGTTCACTTTTGTGCTTATCATTGGGGAAATTAAGGCTCCTAAGAGTTAAAAGTTCCAGTGAAGTTGGAAGGAATTATATAGTTGTGATAATGAAAGGCTTGAGGTAGGGAGAGTCTTATTTGAAGGAAAAGGACAAATGTAAGTTTCTGTAAGGAGAGTTATTTCTGAATGGGTAAGAAGGTTTGTGAAAGTTGAGAAAAGGTTTGTAAAAGGGGGTACAGGCTATAAAATTTTGTGAACGTTTTAACTTTATAGAAAAATTCTTGCATTTTTTCTGTACAAATTAGTAATTCAAATTATGTGTATGGTGTGTATGTGATGTGTTCATCTATGGGACATGTATGGTGAATTTTCAGCCTCCAGATGGCATTACTAGTATATAGTCTTTTATTGGCCTAAAAAGATTAAATACTTATGTAGTCTGGACAAAATAT